TCCCCTTCCCCCCCCTCCTCCTCCTTCTTTCCTCAGTCGTTCCCAGCATTAGGCTCTTCTCCAGCAAAGAGAAGTTTTCATGAGGTGGCCAAAGTCCTTGAGTTTCATTTTCAGGATCTGGCCTTCTGAAGAGCAATCAGAGTTGATCTCCTCTACGACTGACCGATTGGATGGCTTTGTAGTCCAAGGAACTCGCAGGAATATTCTCTTCCAGCACCAGAGTTCAGAGGCCCTCCACTCTTTGGCACTCAGCCTTCCTTATAGTCCCAACTTTCACAGCCATACATTGCAACTGGGGAAACCACAGCCTTGACTATACGCACTTTTGTTGGCAGGGTGATGTCTCTGCTTCTCATAGCAGCCATGTTTCATAAACAGCCAGCTAATAACCGTTGTGATCAAATATCCCTTCTTCCATAATTCAGGCAGAATAAAAACTACAATAAGGAATTGTATGCTGACTTCATTGCTGCCCAGATCAAAACCTTGTCGTTCCTGGCTTACATTATAAGGATTTATCAGGTGAGCCTCAGTTGTACGATCTTCTTTGCCCCCTACATGTAAGATCTGACTTCCTTGAAGTTCCTCTTCATTGAGATGTAAACAGTGGAGGTCACATCTACAACACGGAGGTGCATTTTAATTTTTCTGCTTTCCCCCCACCTTGCCAGGAGCTGGTAGCCAAGTATTCTCAGCAAATGGTGAAGGGAATGTTGCAGCTACTGTCCAACTGTCCAGCAGAAACCGCTCACCTGAGGAAGGAACTGCTCATCGCAGCCAAGCATATCCTCACCACCGACCTGAGGAGCCGTACGTATTTTGACCCTGTTCAGGTGGTTGCATGTAGTCCTCGACGTACAACCAGAACAGAGCCCAACATTTCCGCTGCGAAGTGAGATGCTTGAGCTTTGGCCCATGTTAAGACCTTTCTCGCCCTTAACTGTCAAGTGAATCACTGCAGTTGATAAGGGAGTACCACGGCGGTGACACAGAACTGGCTTCCCCGTTGGCTTTGTCGCTAAAAAAAAGGATCGTATGACCTTGGGACACAGCCAGGGTCATGAGCCGTGGTGGCGCAGTGGTTAAGATGCAGTACTGCAGGCTACTTCGGCTGACTGCCGGTTGCCGGCAGTTCGAATCTCACCAGGTTCAAGGTTGGCTCGGCCTTCCATCCTTCTGAGGTTGAGGACCCAGATTGTTGGGGGCAAGAGGCTGACCCACCCTTCCTTCCTTCCTTCCTTCTTTCCTTCCTTCCTTCCTTCCTTCCTTCCTTCCTTCCTTCCTTCCTTCCTTCCTTCCTTCCTTCTATAGTGGCGTAGTAGTTTAAGTGCAGTATCACAGGTTGACTCTGCCCACAGCCAGGAGTTCAAATCTCCCTAGGCTCAAGGTTGATTCTGCCTTCCATCCAAGGTCGGTAAAACAAGGACCGAGAATGTTAGGAGCAAGAGGCTGACTCTGTAAACGGCTTAGATAGGCTGTAAAGCACTATAAAGCGGCATATAAGTCTAAGTACTATAAGTATTAACCAATTGCCAAGCATCTGAATTTTGATCACACAATCTTGGAGATGCCAGAAAGGTCGTAAGTGTGAAAAACGGTGCTAGGTCATAGCTTTCAGCGCCCATCATAACTTTGAACGGTTCCTAAACTGTTGTAAGTCCAGGACTACCGGTGCCATCTTAAATTAGTTATTTAGCATCTTAATAAAACCTCGTTGCTTTCCTTTCGACACTCATTTTGTTGCAAATTTTTGTTGCAGAGTTTATCCCGTGTATGGACAAATTGTTTGATGAATCCATACTCATAGGCTCTGGCTACACAGCCCGTGAAACGCTCAGGTGGGTAACATGCACTATTACCTGGAGGCCTTTTGAGCGGTCCTCTCTGAAAGTTGTAGGTGTCTGCAGGGGAAGGGAAATTGTGATGCACATCGTAAAACAAAAAGTTCAACAAACATCTCGCTTAACAACAAAAATTTGGGGGGGTCGAATGTAGCCATAAGTCGAGGACTGCCATTGTTCTGGCCAAGGCTTCCTAGACTGTAATTACGGACACACTTATTTTAAAAACAAGACTTATTTTATTGCAACGCTGGGAATTGTTTTCATTCCCAGCCGGAAATGAATCTCAAATAGTCCCCCGAGATAAGCACCCACCTTTCTTCCCTGTGAAGTGATGCCAATAACAGAAGTGTCAAATGAACTAGAAAAAAAACCCACCTGAAGTACAAAGAGCTTCAAGAATGAATCTGAATCGATCGTACGACTTTGCTTCCTGCCA